GCCTGATAATGGGCTACAGGGTATTTTCTATTCGGTCAGCAGGTCTGGAGTATTATAACTTGTTTTATTAAGCCGGATGTGGCAAGCGCTTTGGGATATCAACGAACGCTGAAGTGTATCTCCGTGTACAAGTGTACAGTTGTGTGCGTGTGTGTGTACATGTGTGTGTGTGTGTGTGTGTGTGTGTGTGTGTGTGTGTGCAAGTGTCTGTGAATGTGGTTATGAACCGAAAATCCATTTACGCCTGAATACATTTTGGTCATGATGAAGTGGACAAAAGCGAACAAACTTTGGTGTTAGCCATAAACAAACAGCATTTGTTTGCTTAGCGAGGAGCGAGTTGGAGAAAGAGAAAGAGCATGTAAGAAAGAGAGAGAAAGAGCGAATCGATGTGTAAATTATGAATGCAACAAATGTAACTCACTGTAAGCCCGGCGATTGAGTTAGGCAAAGAAAACGCTGATTGGCCTGGATTTGTAAAGAGATCCCGAAGAAGCGGTTGAAACTGAGTAACAAGCACTTTGTTAGATAAACTTTTGCGTTTAAGTTTTCCGCTCGCTGTCAGCGACCATGCTTTGTAGAACACTTCAGAATAACTTAGCTTAGCTTTGAGTTGAGTTGCAGCAGTTGCAAGAAGTGCTCTTGGCAGAAACAAGAACTGCAGAAGAAAGACACTAGAGCAGCTACTAACTAGCCACTGTTGCTTTTTCGATTTCCAAACCTTCTTTCTTTTGTTATATAAAAGCACTCAAGCTGTTTGCCTAACAACATCGATTTGCTATCAAGTCTATCAGGAAATCAACAAATTTTACTGTCACTTTTCATAGCCAGCATAAAGTTTCCGAGCTTATACATTTGCATGTCAAGAACGTAAAAGTAAAATTTCGTTGCATACTTTTTGGTCAAGGTAAACAAGTTGGTTATGCAGCATGCAAAATAACAAAATATAGAGGTTTTAAGTGTCTACATTAACATACATATCTCTCTCTATATATATTTCTTTATATGTAATACCTATTGCATTTTCATGTTCAAAAAGTTTTGAGTTTGGTTTTCGGTTCGCTTGTTTTCATGGGCATTTCTTTTTTTGGCTAGCTCTCAACACACAACAACAGTTGCTGCTGCAGTTGCAACAGCCGTAGCTGTAAATTCATACATATTCTATAGCCTCACACACACAAAGGTATATGTAATGTTGGACTACTAAACGTCGCCTTTTGTTGCTGTTACGATGCTCGAATGCCTGGCAAACATGTATAAAACTGTATCACTTGCTTATGCGATATTGCTGTGGGCATTGTGGGAGGGGCTTCGCCCATAGTTGAGCCATTGCCCTACAGCACCAGCTGAAAGTTCGTTCCAGTTGTATATATGTTGTGTGTACGTGCCAACTCATTGACCTCGTTCCTGTTGCTGTTGCTGCTGCTGCCTCGCCTCTTGGTAGCGACTGCCAATGCTGCTCGGTCCCTGACTGGCATATTTATGTTTTTTTTTTTTTCGGTTTTCTGAAATCGTTGCCAGTTTTTCTTTTACTTTCCCATAGCCCGTTTCCTGCCTGTCTGCGGTTTTACTCATATTGCAGGACCAAAGGCCAACAACTCATGCCGTGATTCTGCATCCTTACAAGCGCCCACCATGTCATTTAAATGTCATAATCGAATAGCTCGAGCTTAGTGCTCATGACATTGGAGCCGACAACGTGGTCAGGTTTTTCATCCTTGATTAGACAGCAGCCAATTTATGGGCTGAGATTTGTGGCAAGCGTTGCATTAAGAGGGATTCGATAACTGTTAAAATTGATTTTCCTATGACGAATTCGGCCGGATCGGACCGCTTATTCTATATTTATTTGGGAAAATTAAGATTCCAGCGAAATTTCGAAATTTTTAATTCAAATTTTTTTATGCAAAGACAATTTGTGTGCAGTTTGCAAAGGTATTGCCAACTATTCTTTTCATTTGTTAATTTGTTTTCAATTTCTGTATCACAGTGTTCAGTAAATAATAATTACCTCTAATATTTCAATGTCCTTTGAACGCAACTGTAATTGTGAAAACTAATATCTGATTACAAATTACATTTTTGCGCGTGTTTCGGGCTCAAGGCTTTCCCACACCTACGCGGCATGCCCCAATTAGCAATTCCTTCAGCATTTAATGAAGCGTATGTCAATTAAGCGATTTCACGTCAAAGCAAATTGTAAAAAACTTGTGTATCTCAATTGAAAGATGCACAACTGCAACGAGAACAATTCCTTTAAAATTGAACCATTGAGAAGTCAATTAAAATGCGCCCCCTACAGCAATAAAAAAAACGCTAACAAGCATTTGAAATTTTCTTTAAACACAGCAAACAAACCAAAACTTTTCAAGCTAAAAGAAGTATAAATCAAACGATTGAGCCAAGGCAAAATACAAAACTACAAGTGAACAATTGCAATTTACAATCGCAGCTTAACAGAGAAAACCACACGAAAACAAAAAGTCGACAGACACCTCATCAAGTGTTGTATGGTCACAAAAGTTTTTCGGATTACGTATACGACATGTGCGGTCGAAGGTGCGTAGTTCTCCGTTGTTTCTGTGTGCGACAGTCTCTCGGCAACCGCAACATCCATCATCCAATGCGTCAACCTGAACAATAAAACGTGACGTCATCTTGACTGCGTCAAGTTAAGGTGGTTAGGGGAGGTAAAAGGATGAAGCGGTTGAGCATTGACATGTCGTGAAGTGCAGTCAGTCAGGCGGCAGGTGCTCGTACATCAGCTCTGCAGCGCAATTTATTGCCAATTTCATTATTGATAAACACTTTTTATGGCATTTCCCGGTGAATGGTTTTGTTTTGTCTGCTGTCTGCTATGTGAACTTAATGTTCTATAGCAAGATTGTTTGTTGTTCTTGATCGGTTGACTGAACATTACTTAGTAATTGGAAATTGCCTAGGACAAAAAAGTTTTTGCTTTATAACAGCAGCATAGTTGAATAGTTGCCATAGCAATGATCCTTCATTTTGCCACCAAGTGCAGCTAGGTATTTTTAGTTTTTAGTTCAATTATCTGCCATCCTTAGTCGTGCAAAAGATTAAATGCACCAAACTTTTAATTGTATATATGTTTATTATATATGTGTGTGTGGTGATTATACTGTTGATGATTACACTGTTCATAGCTAAAAGCTTTAGTGCTAGTCAATTAATTTGCACATTTGCTACAAATGCAACCCTGTGTGCGCAGTTTTATAGCAAAATGCGTTAATAAGCTGTCATAGCAATCAGCTCTTCTATTTACTAATGTACTTGAGCGATTGTTTCTCATATTTCAAACGCTAAATTAACTGCAATTGATTTGTGACGACAATGCGCGCAGTTCCATGTTGTTTATTCAGCAATAATTCCCGGTTAGCATTGCGGGCCTCAACAACGTCACTCCCAGGTCCAATTCCATTCCCTTTTCCACCGCCATAGCCAGCGCCATTGTCAACGCCATTATTTGCGTTGTTTTGTTTGTCTGCATAGCTCTCTGCTATACAGCTTCCCCCCGCCGTGCAAGGCTGTGCGCCTTAAGGGCGTGGCAGTGGAAATATGTACAACACACAGTGCTCGTCAACGTCTAGTTGCATTAACCTGCATCTGAGACAAGCTTTATGTTCGGCGGTCAGTGGCTACGAGGTAAAAAAGTTATATAAATTTACGGCGCTAGCCCCAAGCGACAGCATCTATGTACATGTTTTATTTATGTTTTTAATTTGCAAAACGCAACTTTTTATTAGCATGTGGCAAACAGGATGAACTGCAGCTCTTTGCATACCTCTACCCTTTATTTGTATAGTTTTTGTATATATTTTTATACGATGACCCGTGATAGTTCGGCATAGAAATGCTATTAGATGTCGCTGCCACATTTACATACTACTCGTTTTTTTACCTAGCATCTAGATATATTTATTTTCTTTTCAAAAAAACACTTTAGATCACATTAGGGAGCTTAGGCAAATTGTGCGCCGAGAGCCCCTAGAAACGGGTGTTAGGTCAGGTCTTTTGACACTTTTATAGTTTCGATCAATCTCAATAAGTGGTTTGTGTGTGTGCGTGTGTGTAAAGGATTCTCGGTCTGATATTCTATGGAGGCATTGTGGATTTATTTGACTTTAGCTTAAGTTACTTATATAAAGAATTTAAAAGCCATTAGTGCTAGATTAAATTGCAAAGTTATGGCGGCAACATATTTGCATTGCGATTACATTTCATTTCAAACTTTTTAATTAGTAGAGAACTAATTTGAACGCAGTTAAAGGTTAGTTTCCTAAACTAACTCACATTTTGCTCGTTTATTTTTTATTTTGCCTAGCTGCACAGCTTTCATAGCCTACTTCAATGCGCAGTATTTTTGCGTTCAACTTTTGCAATTGTTTAAAAGTCAGTTTAAAACGCGTAGCTCTAAATTGAATTGAAATTTTACGCATACATTTAGCACTTGGCATCGTCGTTAAGCAGGAAACTCGCTTTTACCCCAGGAGGCAAACACACAGCGCCATTTCGCCTGTACAAAGTATTGTGCATAAATCCTCGGCGCTTTAAATACCCTACCGAAAAGGTATCGCATTTCAGTAGAGAATCTCGTCACCGTAAGCAACATAATTTGTATTACGAGCACAGCCTTTATTTTATTATAGATTCTATGAATTGAAAAACGGGAGAAAAAAATGTTTGTAAGATTTGGGTTAAGATCGGATGAGCGATTCCTATTATTACAATCTAATTCGTATTTAGGGTATTTAATCTTCAGCAGCTCGCAGACACCTAATCTTCCTAGTTTTTGGTCATTTCATGCCCGTCATTTTTCACGCTTGAGTTTGTTTAAATGGCAACGTGAAAATGATTTTGCCTTTTAGTTTCCCGCTTATATGTATATTTAAATTTCTGCTCTGAAAATGGCCTTAACGGCGTTAATAACGCAGCGCATATTTAAATAATTTTTAATTGTTTTTTTTTGGGCTTCGCAGAAATACAATATTAGCACGGAAAAATGCGGCGACTTGACTGTTATTGTGCAGGTACAAAAATTCAAATATCTAGAATAATCTATTTAATTTAATTCAATTATTTAAAAACTTAAATTTTCAGGGCGACTTGTCGCAGCAGGAGAAACGCGCTGTATTTATTACTGTGCATGATTTGGGATGCAATCGTATGTAGAGCAAAGTTTTATCGTAATTAGAAGCATTTCGACATAACTCAAACGACTTCTTTTTGGCAGATAATTCGTTTCAGGAATTTGTAAGCAGCCCATGCATGACGGAAATTAAGGAGCGCTCGTGTTTCATACACGTTGATGTGCCCGGCCATGCGGACAATGCCGAAGCACTATCCGATGGCTTTCCGTTTCCTTCGCTGCAGGCACTGGGCGAAGATTTGGTTACGGTTCTGGATTATCTGCACGTGAAATACGTAATTGGTTTGGGCGAGGGGGCTGGGGCAAATGTGCTGGCCCGTTTCGGGCTCGCCCATCCCAGTCGTGCGCTGGGTCTTATCCTGATCAATGCCACGGGCAGTGCTGCAAGTGTTTTGCAGTCCTTTAGGAACAAGGTGCGGATATCGCCTTTGGTATGCAAATAATACATGTAACGCCCTTTCGCATTTGCAGTTCATTAGCTGGAAAAGCGATGAGGTTGCCCATTCGGCTGAGAGCTTTCTGATGTATCACAAATTTGGACATGTAAGTAGTCGCAGCTCGAGTTGCCACCCTCTTCTAATAGGTGTGACCCTGTAAGTGTGAATGCGTGTGTGTGTGTGTGTTTGCGTGTGTGTGTCCGACTGTGTCTGTATGGTTGGTTAATCTCAGTGTTATGTTGTATTCACTTTATCTTATTTTTTGTCTATTTTATGTTGTGAACTGTTTTACTTGGCACTACAGGTCATGGAGGTAAACAGTTTTACAGTCTAATAAACAAGTCTCTTCAGCTCTATTTAGCTCTCCATTTGAAGCAACGCTCTTTTTTATAGTCTCCTAATATTTCAATTCACAAATTTTAACAAACTCGAACAGATTTAGGTCCTTCGAAAAGCATGTATATTCATATTTATTTCATTATTATTTATTTTTAATAATTTTTCTTTTAGACCTCGGTACGTAGAACCTCCAGCAAGAAATCGGCCAAAAAGAAATTACAAAATTGACTTAAATTTAGTCCATTTTTATATTTGTTTGCATGCTTTGTAGTTTGCATGGCTTAAGTTTCGTAGCTGTCAGCTATAAGTAAAATAAAATATTTTCTAATGCAAACGTTCTGCTTACTTACACTGCACAACAAACAACACAACCATATCAAATTATACACATAGCAAATTGTTGGCGAGAATCCAGATAAGGACAAAATAGTGGCCGAATATCAAAAACGTTTGCATCGCTCCCTAAATAGCAAGAACGTCGGCCTCTATGTCAAGGCGTTTATGAAGTATGTAAACAAAATAATGGAAAATGATTTCGCAATGTAGAATAATTTTTTCATTTTTAGTCGCAAGGATCTTACGCTCAAAGGCTGCAAAGTTGATGTTATATTAATTACAGGCATGCTCAGCCCGTATGCCTCTATGGTGGAGAAATTGCATCGCGATGTGGAAAAGGAACGCGTGACCATCTTAAAAATTGAACGTGCTGGCGATGTATTGGCTGATGCTGTAAGTTTAATTTGGATAAGCACCTCATATGGACATAAAATTCGAACACTTTACTTTTCATGGTTAGCCCTCGAAGGTAGCTCAATCCATACTACTATTTTGCAAGGGGCAAGGTTTGCTTACTTCGATCGTAATGCCCGGAGTAGACCGCGGACGCTCATTTTCTACTGCCAGCTCCGGTTCCTTTGAGCGCCGCTTATCGCGAGGCATTTCCATGGAGGACTACGACAAGCCCAATATACGTCGGCTCAGCATTATGAACAGTGAGTCCCCTAAAAAGGAGTAATCGACAAACTACACACCGTTACACGCGAGGGCAGGCGCAAAATGTTCAGCTTCGAGTAGTGTAACTAAGCTAAACACAACGCATATTTAAATTAGTAACAAGTCGTGAGAAACGCGATGAAAATGTTAAATTTTGTAAAACTAGAGGCCAAACAATCATTCATGATGCAATCGTATTATTTTTTAGCCAAATGAACAATATGAATTTTAAAGGAAATTTTTAATTAGTTATTGTTTTGAATATCGAATTACAAAAACTTATATGTAATTTCCAACGACCCACCTGTGAATCCAAAAGAAATACGATCATATCTCAACCTTCAAAAGCTCGAACTTATCGACAAACTTGTCATTAACTAATTCTTATACACATGACATGTACAAGCAATCATCTATGTAATACCTCCGATTAGTACTGTACCTAAGCAATTGAAAACTCAAGTGAAAAAAATACCGTATCACTCCCATTTTAACCTTGTTTTCAGAATATTTGCTACACATGTATTTTCAAACAGTCGAGAAATGCTGTTTTTAATAACTAAAATTATATACAATTGTTAAATAGAGTAAGTTGAAAGCACCACAGCATTTAGCTGACTATTTAAAGTATTTATGAAACCAATCAGGCACACAAAATATAAATATAATGTGTTTAATCAAATTATTAAAGCAATAAAGAAAAGCACCAAAAAAATGTAGTAGCTAAGCGCTTAAGAGTTTTTCGTAGTACAACGGTTGCGATATTGGCTTTTTAGTGTGAAGCAAATGCTTAAGTCATCAATTACAAAAATAATCCAAGCACTCAACAATAGATGTAGCCACCATTCAACAATAAAGTTTAAATTTGAAATCAAATATCTGAACGGAATGTTTTAAAATGACTAGCGGTCTCGATTTGTATTTTAATACAATCGCTTGTTATCGTTTTTGAACAGGAGCTGCATACTGCGCTAACAGACTCTTTTTGCGTAACATGCTTAAGATTTTTATATTTTGATGCTTTTTACTGATTAGTTACGCGTGTAAGCGAATTTGCTCACTAAGCTGCATGTTGCTATTACCGTGTTACTCGTTAAGCAACATGTGCCTTAAGGTCAAGCAACATTTCATTATTTTAAGCTTTTACGGTCACACTGGCAGTCAGGGCTGCCAGATCAGTGTTTTTGCAACTCATTTAATAAAGAATAAAACACTTGCAACACAAAATGTTATAAAAATAAATTAAATTAAAATAAATACGTTTATAGTAAAGAGGACGTTCTCGGATAACTTTGACTTCAAACGCATTTGCATGGACGCGCCGCCGCCAACAAAGCCACCCAGAGGCGTTAAATATGGAAAAGATGAGGTACATTTGTTTAAGACCAAACTAAAAATACTTTATAAACCCTAAATTGTTATTATAATTTAATATAATAAAGTGCACAATAACCTAAAGTCGTACAAAATACGCAGTGTAACTTTCTTTGGCGAAAAAGCCGCTTGCTGATGACGACACCAACGCTGATGCGGTCTCATGTTGTAGTTGTTGTTTTTGTTGTTGCACGCCCTCTTTGCTATTTGATAATAAGAAGTCGCGAATATTAATTATGCTGGGCGTGTACTCTTGCGCTTTGCTATTGTTTTTGTTTTGCAGTCTGCCAGCTGTGGCTTTCTCGTCAACGTCATCAAGTCTCTGGGTTTCAGCGAGACCACCGAGGAGCGTCAAAAGGAGAAGCAGAAAATCGAACAGGAATTCAAACGTTCGGATCTGCGTCTAAACGAGCTGGTCTCACGACATGACCAGCAGCTGACTCAAGTACTGCCACTATTTAGCCAGGTGTCCACAGAGGTGACGGCTAGTCGCGAGCGTATACACGCGGTCAAAGAGAATCTGGGCGCCTGCAAGCGCCTTCTGCAGTGTCGTCGCGATGAGCTTAAGAAAATGTGGACGGACGCTGTACAGCACAAGTATGTGCTGGAAATGCTGGAGCAAATGTAAGTAAAAAATGCTCGGAACGGAAAACAAATTCACAACGCTTCGCTTTGCAGCCAAGAGCTCCGGAAAGTGCCTCAACGTGTGGTCAGCTACACGGCGAAACGTCAGTACTTGCATGCCAGCAAGGCACTGACGGATGCCCTGGCCACGCTCAACGGACCATTGGCAGGCGTCGAGGGCTTGGCCGATTTGCGCACCGATTTGCAAACGCGCCGGCAACAGCTATATCATCGCTTACACGAGGAACTTGTCACGCAGGTGTACAAGAACTCTGCCAATGAAGCCTTTCAACGTAGCAATTCGAGTCGCCTTAATTCTAGTTTCACGCGTGGCATTGGCGCACGACGCTCCACGGATCGCATCGAGGCAAATGCTCGCGTGCGTAAGGCATTGAGTGACATGGCGCAAGGCTTTGAGCTGGACAAAGCGGAGATAATTGAAGATGCGGATCTTATTGATCCGGAACTAAGCATGAATTACTTTATTGCCATCATTGTAGAATGTTTTGGCATGCTGCAGAAGGTGCCAGATTCATTAGAAACGCTGCGCGTCCAAATTCAAACAGAGCTTCTAAATGTTGTGCGACAGACCACGCATCAGCTGGCGTCGGGTGGTACGCTGCAAGCTGGTGCAGGTGCAGGTGCCAGCAATCCGCTGCTAACCCTCCTGGAGATCATATTCAAGCAGTTCAAAGCTATTGCCAAAACGCATACGCTCCTGCTAAAGAACTATCTGGCTGTGGGTCAAAAGTATGCCGTTGTGGGACCACAATCCTACGATCTCACCGACTTTTGGGCTCAGGCTCAGTCAGTAGTAAGTGTAACTATATAAATTAGCAACTTCTATATTTTTAAATGATTTTATTTTTTATCACAGTTGCAATTGCTGCTTACGGATTATTTGGACATACAAAATGCATCGGCGGATGAGAGCTCGCAGACGGGCTTTGTGGAACCTATAAACAATATTAATTCTTATTTTCTAAGGCGCAAAGTTCCAAGGTTTGTTATGTGCTCTTACAGAATATCTAATTATACTTTAAACTTTTTCAATTCTCAACGGCTAGCACGAAAAAGGCCATGTTCAAGTTTGACAAGTCCTCGCACATAGCCGGTAATGTAAGCAGTAGCAGCAACACCAACAGCAAACATGAGCCTTTCAAGGAGCATCGACGCAATGCTTCAGATGCCTCTGTTGATGACAATTTGGGTGCCAATCTGCTTGGCAGCGGCAAGGGCTCTTTGACTGGCCTATTGCCTCATGAGAAGAAACAGCGAGAGAAATTGTTAATATGCACGCCCGATCAGAATGTGATCACCAAGGTGTATCTTCCAATAATGGGCTACATACAGGAAATTGAGAACTTTATGAAGTGCAAGCCAGGGTTAGCTTACAATTCACATATCATCAACGTCATTATCTCACATATCTCTCTATCTATACATTCATTAGTCAACCGTGCAGCCTGCATGACTTTGTGGATAATTATATAAAGGATACATTCCTATCTAAGGGTCACAATCGCAATTTGCAGTTGACCATTGAGTCGCTATCAAAGAATCAGGATGCCTGGCGTGCCATTATAACGCCCGAGGAAATGAAAAGTTTAAATTTGAGCCGGCCATTGCTGCAGTCCACTGTCATGGTAGAGCGTCGGCTGGTGGAGACCAAAAATCTAATTGAAGATTTGCCCTGCTATTCGGAAGAGCTGCTCAAGATGGTGTGTGCGCTTCTCAAGGCCTATCGTGAGATATGCCAGACGGCCTACAGGGGTATTGTGCAGCCGGATTCGGAAGATAAACGCATCTACAGCGTGGCCTGGTTAAAGGACGAGGATATAAGTCGATTTTTAAAGTAGCCATCTTGCAATTGAGTTCGCCTTGACAATTAACTAACTTGATATTTGTTTCCTGTTGCAGAACGCTGCCCAATTGGACGGATCTTAAGACCTCCAGCCAGCGTGCACGCCACACGCGCAAGCTGCAACGTGGAAACTTTGAGCCGTCCGAGGAGGAGAGTCCGCTGCAAGTGCAGCAACGTAATATACGCGAAGCCGAAATGTTAACTAGCAATTTGGGTGAGGGTGGCATAACACAGCAGGAGATACTGGCTGACATAAGCGTGCTCAAGGAGTTGGCTATACTGCAGGAGAGCATGGAATGGTTCTCGTGTCGCGTCTCAGAGTTTGCCAACGAGCTAAGGCGTCCATTGGTCAACGGTTTGAATTCAGCAGCGGCAGACTGTGCGGCAAACGTGGCGATCAAGGATGGCACCATCAAAGTAATGACTAATCTGGCATTGGAATTCGATGAATTGGCCAACACGTGCCTGCTAGTGCTGCATCTGGAGGTGCGCGTACAATGCTTCCATTATTTGCGATCCAAGTCGAGCGTTAAAACCAACAGCTATGTAGGCTCCAAGGATGATATATTGGAGCCAGATCGTCAGGTACTGGTGCTAACGAAACGGCTATCGGAAATGGATGAAGCATTCAGTGCCACCCTGCATCCGCGCAAGACAAGGGTTAATATTACCTCTCTGCAGAACGCTCAAAACTGTTCTCTAACTTTTCTAAGTTTCCTTTTTAGTATATATTCGAGGGCTTGGCACATCTGGCAGCACGCATACTTATACAGGCATCCAATTACCTGGAGCACATTGATCAGATCACCGTGCAACGCATGTGTCGCAATTCTATTGCCCTGCAGCAAACGCTGAGCAATATTACGGCGTCTAGGGAGATTGCACTAGACCAGGCGAAACATTTCTATGAGCTGCTCTGCATGGAACCAGATGTAAGTGTTTGAAGGTATCTGGAAGTCAAGCTTTTAACGTCCACTCTTGCAGGAAATACTAAATGCGTTGCTGGAACGCGGCACACAATTCTCAGAGATGCAATTGCTAAATGCATTGCAGTTGTCTTGCAAGGCCTGCGGCATAACCGATGTCAATTTATTGGCTTCCTATCAGCAAAAACTTTCCGATATACTGGGCGCCAAGCCCTCCAAGGGTGTTGTTGTATAATTTATACAAGCAAGCGGAATAGCAATATATATTTTTTAAATAATTGCGCCTTGTATGCCCACTCAAACAGACATCAACAATAGTTTTTAATGTGTAAGTGCAAAGAGTTTGCTAGTGTTAAGCCCAAATTGATTATAAATGTTTTGAACATGTTGGCATGCACTTGGTGTTGCGATATAGTCCTTTATATACTTGTATTCTAAAGTTCGTGAACAATATTGTAATATGGCTTATACACAATAAAATGAAAATGTAACAACGAAAAATAAATGAGAAATTTTAATAAAACGCAAGCCGGTTAAGTGAGGAGCAGTTGCCTTCTGTTAAGTGTGGAGTGGTTCTGTTAATTCAGCATAAAGTCATGTGGGGCCGATGTCTAAATTTCAGCTAGCTGTCGTTTGCCAACACTAAAGAATAGTTGCCGCCTGAAAAAAAAACATCTCATAAATAAACATAAAATAATGCCTGAACAAGTTGAATCGAGTTCAAAACTGAATGTAAGCAGCGAGATTAAGCCTCCGTCTTATGATTTAACCAAGTTCCGTCTCAAACGCATACTCAACAACAATAGCAAATGCAAGAGTATAACATTACTCGGCACATTCCCGGATTTATCGGAAACTGACGCCGCTATTGTTGTTTTCGAGAAAAATGGTAAGTAATTCGGGTGTGTCATATTGAAAATTAATTTTTTTTTTATTCATGCAGCTTATCGGGAGAGCGACGTGGCAACTGAAGTGTCGGCGAATAAAGAGTCGGAGTCGGAGCCTAAGCCGAGTTACTTTACCACCGACTTACAAGTTCGCACCGATTTTATAAACAACATATACGCGAGTTTTCAATGTGTGCCCACCCAACAGCTGTGTGGTATGTACAGTAATAGTGACCTTGCAATTGTATGACCAGATGTAAATTATTTTTCCATCGCTTACAGCCGTGAAGGGCACGGTGATTTATCCGGCCACCGACAAGCACATTGAGAAATATTCCATATGCCAGAAGTACATAATAAATGAAACACCAGATCTCTATAAATCCGTCACGTTGCCTTATATTAGCTCAAGCCAATTCTCACTCGACTGGGTGTACAATATACTTGAGCATAAGCAGGAAACTGACCGAATTGTTTTCGAAGATACGCATCCTGAAAATGGCTTTATACTACTCCCGGATCTCAAGTGGGACGGACGCAATGTGGAGAACCTTTATTTGCTGGGTATTGTGCGCAAGCGTGATATTAAATCATTGCGTGATCTCAATGCGAGCCACTTGCCGTTGCTTCGAAATTTGCGGCAGTCCGCAAAGCAGGCTATACTTCAGCGCTACGGCTTAAATCCCACCCAGCTGCGCATGTACTTCCATTATCAGCCGTCGTTCTATCATCTGCATGTTCACATTAATCCGATCAGAAATGATGCGCCTGGCATTTGGTGCGAAAAATCGCATATGCTCGACACAGTCATTAACAATTTGGAGCTGGTGCCGGATTACTATCTGCGCGCCAGTATGCCATTTGTTTTATATGAGGGCAACAAGTTGTTGGATTTATACGACGAACAGTTGGAGGTACGTACAATATCAACCCAGCAGGCAAACGAAGCAGACGATGTTGGACCAGAGGAAGCACCCGAGGCATTCACCGACGAGGAACCTGAAGAGGCGCGTCAGTGCAAGCGCATTAAGCTAAGCACCCCAGAGAGGGATTCCAATGAAGCCGAGCTTGTTGTAACGCCGTGTGCTTAAGTTTGACACCAAGTAGTATGATCTATATTATCAATGTGATTTGATATAGTAGCAAGAATAAAAGTAGTCATGCATTAAATCTGTTCTTTTTTTTTTTTTGTCAGTTTTTGCTTTATTTATTTATTTATTTAATAATAGTGTCGCTATGTTTGTTGTGTATTTCTGTTGTAGTTTGTGGCTGCTTTATGCTACGATCTGTCAGTATTTTGCTTTTGTGGCCTTTTTTGCATATTCTAATATTTGTAATACGTTGAAATACATTCACTGCCTTTGGGGATTTTTTTTGTTCGTATGTCTTTCTCGTTAGTTATTACAAAATGATTTATGTATCAATGAAAATAATTGTGGGCGCCTAAATGCTATTTTTGAAATAGGTCGAGTGTTTTTTATTACATTTTTTTTGTTTGTGGATATATGTGGCAGCCGCCTTTGAAATGTTTATAGAGTTTAAAATTTTCTCGGTTGTTTAGATTAGATTATTTTCTAACGTTATATTCGAGAATGCCGAATTCGATTCGGTATTTTCGAAAGTCGTGCTTAGCGAATGCTTCGATTTTATAAGCTCGTCTCTGGCTTACGAGTTACAGCAGCTGCGTGTGTATGTGTATATGTATGTATGTGTGTGTTCGAGTGAGTGTGGGATACACGTCTGAAATCTCTTGCATGGAAGCCTTGTACAACATGTTTTAAATATACATATACATAAATATTATTTCAAGTACATACACACATATACGTATATATACATATATATGTATACATATGCCATACATATATAGGTATATAAAAATAACAAAAATAATAGTAGCAATAAAATCGTAGTATGTAATATTTTCATTCCAATAATAAAAACAATGCGCACCCCGCCGGCTTTGCCCGAATACTTTCATCGTCTTCAATTGCTGTGACTGTTGCTACTGTTGTGGACCGTCGCGCCCTCCGCGTCCGCCTGGTCCTCTGGCACATACATGACAGCAGTGCTTGGCGAAGTGTTGACCGACATGCTGGACGTCATCGTTTTGTCCGCATCGGAGATAGACCAGTTACGCTCCAATTGCTCCAGCGCGGCCATCGTTGCTGTTGTGGTCACTCCAGCGCCGGAACTTTCCGCGCCAGAGCCATCACTGAGGACGCCCGCTCGCAGCGTCTCCTCGAGTAGGGCCTGAATCTTGTCCTGATCATCTAGATGCACAAAGCCCAATCGCACCAGCTCACAAGTCAAGTCCGCCGCTGTATCCTCCTCGTTCACCTGACACGTTAGCTGTCGATTCATTTTGTCATCCATTCGCAACAGTATGGTCATCAGTATATCGTTGCTGTCCTCCTTCAGTTTCTTCACACTGCACATCATGTTCACAATGCGACGCGACTCAGTGTCCACCGGCTCCGGCGTTGCCGACTTGACCGAGTCGGCACGTTCGGGTGAGGCAGCGCGCGAGCGAAAATGTGGCGGCTTCTTGCCACTGTACGTGATCAGCGGATAGACACCATATTTAACATCCTCCACGAATTTTTCCAGCTTATCGGCGCCGGGCACATCCGATAGTCGAAATTGACGCTCATTACCGCCAGACAATTTGAGCTGCGCCATTATCACATCAGGGTGATTATAGCGCTGCATTAGCCCATCGAAGGCTGTCTCCGAGAACATAGTTCGATTGGCGGGCGAGAAGACCAGACAGTGGGCGGCCAGTAGTTTTAGTGCATGCACCTGTAAGGATTATCCAAATTTTATCACTATATACTTAAAATTGTATACAAGCTATTGATAAAACGAGGGTATAAAAACAAATAAGTTCTTTAAAAGAAAGTTCCCGACTGTGAAATACCCTTTACCTATCGCATAACTCACAAAGGACCACAAGGTAAAAAATTTATTCTCCGCTAACTTATTTGATGCTCAAATCCGTGTTTATATTGATCAAAGCAATTTTTGTACACCAAAAATCCAAAAGGGAATCCGTCAAACGGAACAGTCTATTTGAAGAGCTTCAATTGATACACCTTTTAAATACATGTGCACAAATTTTGTATATCCTATTCGTCCATTCTCTTTTTTGTTACAGGGTATAAGAAATAGGTATATTAATTAATACGCGGCTTCAAAGCTTAAGAACTTTTGTGATGTATGCATCTGTTTTCAAATCCACTTTTGATTTATTTTAAAAACTTAATATATTTGAATTCATATCAGCAGCACCAAGGAACAGCTGTAGCTAAATGGGAATCGATAAGCAGATTTTAAACATATATTGCTTAAGAGACTAATCACAGGATACTTACATATGATTACTCGAAATATATTTCATATATCTAGGTGTTTTTTTTGTTATTATTTGTCTTTGGGTCAACTCACCTCAAAGAGCAGTGGATGAAAAAGCAAGTCGCTAGCACTTGGTCGATCTTGGGGTTGTGGATTTAGACATTTCAGTATCAGATCACGTTGCAGATCATTGTCTAAGCTATTAATTGTGCGCAGTATGGTCTCCTCGTTGATGGCAGTCGATTCGCTGTTGCTAGACTGCGGCTGTATCTCCAGCGCGGCCATTTCCAGGGCACACATGCCAAAAGCGTAGATGTCGACGGCGGCGGTTAGTTGCTCGGCAGCACCATATTCTGGTGCATGGAAATAGTGCGCACCACGCTCCCGTTCACGTTCCGGCAACTGCTCCAGTTGGTCAAGATGCTGACGGCGCACGCTATAATGCACCGCATCCGGGACCACAGAGCCTATTTTTACCAGACCATTGTGCTGTATGAAAATGCTATCACAGGTTAGATTGCCATGAATGATGGGCGGCGAGCAGGAATGCAAATAACTGAGCGCGGAAAGGATCTGAGTGCACCAGCGGCGCCACGATTCAAGCGGCAATCGCTTGGCATTGCGCTTGGTGCGCTTGAGGAACTGTTTTAATGAACCGGACGACATGTACTCTGTGATGAAGATGACGCGTGGTCGCTCCGCTTGCAACGTGTCCGTCCAGTAGCGATGAAACTTGACAATATTCTGATGGTCCAGCTGTAGCAGGTTGTCAAACACCTGACGCATTTTGTCCTCCTGAGTTTTGAGCTCCTGCAGCTGCGCATATTGCACCTCATTCCAGACGACCTCAACACCCTCCTCGGTGTCCATGGCCAGATGCACACAATCAATGCCAGGTACATCTCGCTGATCGACCTCCTCGCGTCGCTTTAGCCACCGACCACATGGTGACTCCTCCAATATTTCACTCTCATCCTCCGAATCATCGCCAGACTCGCGCGGCGATGAGTCTACAGCCAAACTGCTAACGCCTCCATCGCCAGCAGTTGTTGATGCTGCTGCTGTTGTTGTTGTAGTTGTGCTGGAGGCGCCTACTAGGTGCGATGCGGCACTAGTTGCAGCTGTAGACGCCGGTTGTACCGTGGAGCTTTGAGCT